TGATGATTTTATAACAGTTGGCGAATACAACTTACCTTGCTCGGAGTGGCGCGATGTCGGGGATCACTGGGAACCTATTCTTACAAAAAAATCCACAATAACTAACAAACTTTTAATTAATTTTATATTCCACGTTAAAATGTTATAAAAAACTCATCCACATCACGGGCGCCCATTCCATTGGTGCCGCCACTAGATTTATTTCTGTGGTGCCGCCTGATGACAATCATGCTCCATTTTTTGCGCTTGTTACTATAAATAATATTACCGCGTCCTTTAGCAGTGAAGCCTAGAGTTATTTTTAACTTTAGAAAAGGTAATTATGACGCTTTAAATTGTGATTTCGCTAATATAAACTGGAATGATTTGCTATGGGAGGTCGGTGCGAAAGGAGCGATTATGCGTTTATTGAAACTACTTATGACCTAATAACATATGTATATACCTACAAGAACACTCAAATCGTCACAATTTACTCCATGGTTCACAAAACCACTTATTCACATCTTTAAGAATAAAAATAACGTATGGATTAAGTGGAAAAAGTGTAATAACAAAAGCGATTATGAATTATTTTCTATTTACAGAGCCCGCTTTAATTCGAAGCCCAAAAGGACCTATAAATCATATATGGAGTTTGTTGAGAATGGCATACATGATAACATAAAGTATTTTTAGACTTATGTTAATAATAATAAAATTAATGCGGATATTCCACGTAGAGTATCATATGAGAACAGGATTGCCGATAAATCAGACGAAGTCTGTAACCTATTTTCATCATTCTTCGCGTCTGTATTTGTTTTTTAATTATTATTTTTTTCAAGTTTTTCAATACAAACAATGTTGTATTGCAAGACTTAAAAAAAATAGAACCGATAACAAATTTTAATAATGATAAATAATACTTATCTCAAATGCAACTAATTCAAGAAAAAACTATTGAAATCAAAGATCTGATGATTTTATCAAAGAATCTGTAAATTTTGTTATCACCCTATATTTATAATTATTAAGACAAAATCAATAAAAGGCTTTTATAACTATACTAGAGTTATAGCGAGACAGTAAGACGGTCGTAGTTGTGTAGTACTTTCTTGTTATTTTCAGCAGACACCTACCACCATCCACCCGTCTGTAAATAATTTCCCACCTCCCCCTTATCTCTTAAAACATACCTTGAATCATGTTTCAAATTGAGACGGTTTTATTATTCTTTCAGTACGTATTGTTAGATCTTAGCGACTATAGGTGCAGCCAGGGCCAAAAGCATAAAGTGCCCTTCGAAGCAAGGAGGAGCATAAAACGCGGGGATAAAATACTCCAGATAAAATAATCCTTGCTTAAAAACTACTATTCTAAGAGCTCCTAACAAACTTACAAGAGCAGCAAGCGTCCGTACCATAGAACAGAAAAAAAGAGGAACGTACACCTCTAGCCACTGCTAGTATGATTTATTCATTAAGAATACTGTAGTAAGTATGTTTGCAAATTTTTGGTTTTGCTGAATTGCTATATTCTACAAATAGGGTTACAATATCATATCCTGAGTTTTTAAGATTTTTAGATTCGGTATTACGGCTGGATTTTGGAAATCTTTGTATATTTTTTTTTTGTTTTCATTAAAATTATGTTTTTTTACATAATTTAATTAAAAGTTACAACAAAATAACCTTTTTTTAATTGTACTTAAAAACTAATTCATCATCATCAGCCTTTTTACGTCCCCACTGTAGGGGCTCAGGCCTTCCTTATGGATGGTTAAGGAGGATGGGCCATGACCTCCACGCTGGCCCAATGCAGATTGGAGGGTATTAACGACTGCAAATGCAGCCAGGACCAACGGCTTAACGTGCCTTCCAAAGCACGGAGTAGCTCGAGATAATAATTATTTGGTCACCCATCCCGTGACCGACCCTTGATCAAGTTGCTTAACGACAACGAACGCGGGCCGCGGCGCTTATCCACTATGCCACTGAGCTATTGAGCTAATGAGGGAAAGCAAGAATATAAGCCGGGTATTAAAAATAGTATACAGTCACAATTCTTAATTTACGTCTCAGACCTAATAATTCTCAAACTTTAACAAAGTCTCGGGATTTTCAAACAAAATCAGGCTTTTTCTCTGAATTTTAAATATTTAATCTAGTAACCCTATCTGCAAATGAAGTACGAATTATTAATTAAACGAAGCTACAAATTATTATTTGCCATTGTGTTAAATTCAACGATCGTAAATTCGATACTTATAATTGTATTATGTAAAATAATAGTTTATGAGATGAAAATGGACATTTATGACCGAAACGGGGGTGATTAGATGAAGCTTTTCGACACAATACAGACATATGACTTCTTTTATGGTATAAAAAATCTACGAAATTTCTTGTGACAAACTAGCTATTCTAAATATCATTAACTGTGTTTCTATGTGTAATAGCATCAAAATCCTAAGATATGCACAGCGGTATTTGCAAAAGAGTTTAGACCATTTAGACGTTCCGCGAAGCATTTTATGCATATCTTATCACATTTACACAAACGAGCCGCAACATGTGTGTTTATCATGTAGAATTCACTATATTTTGCGTATTTTTGTCACGATTAATACATTAAGAATTCTACTAACCTACAAATACCTCGTGGGTTCATAAGTTTTGAGACGAAATAAAAGTTGCGTAACTTTTTCAATAATCAACTTATATTTCTTAAATTTTCAGTAACCATTAAATACATAATAATCAACCATAAAGTATATATTTTATTCAAAATGACCGCTCTTATTGTTAATACAGGCCCTTGGACGATTTGGCCAGTCATTAATGGCTGCACGAATATTTTCTGGCGGAATTCGCTTTCCTTCTAGAACAAGGGTTCGCTTTTGTGACTCCAAGTTTGGGTGGGACTTTCTGCAGGCCCTGAGCTCTAATTTAGTCCATAAAGAATAATCCAGTGGGTTGAGAGCTGGAGCGGGGCTGGAGGAAAGCTAGCCAATCTGTGTGTAGTGTGCAGTAATGAAAAAATGGAGTGAAGTGACACCTTCATACGAAACTGCCCACCGTACCATTACACTAGCCGGATAATGAGTGCGCGAGACATTCCGTGCAGAAGCTGGGACACCTTGCTACTTTTAGCGTACACTTTATTCTTTTGTCGGTTGAACTTTTCTTCGACAGTAAAAATTTTCTCGTCAGTGAAGAGTATCTTCCTGGCAACATGTCTCCTCAACAATAATAGACAACGTTCTCGTTGTAACTTACGAAGACGATCGTTTAAAAAGTGAACTTTTCTACGGCTATAGGCCTTTAGCTTAACATCATATTTCAGTATTCTGTTCACTGGAACGCGCGAAATATTTTTTTTTCAGAGTGCGACATGGTTTTCGGTGAAGTCGCTCTCGGATGATTTTGATGTTCTCAGGCGTCCTCACATATCGCGGCCAACCACTCCTTTGGCATTATTGCAGAGAACTCGTCTCTGTTTTCCACTGTATTGTGTAAAAGGTGAAGTTACGGCTCACGGCAAAACTTTTCAGCTCGCAGAAAATCTGCATCGGTTTTTTTCCCGCCTTAAATAGCGAAATGATAGTTGCACGTAATTGTTTCGTTCCCTCCATCGCGAAAAAATATAAAAAAATCCAGTAACATTTATTTTATTTTCTCAGTAAAAAGTTTGTCTCAAAACTTATGAACACGAGGTATATTTTTGAGGCAATATATGCATCAAAACAAGACTTTCCGACCCTATAGAACCTGCCCCTATTGGCAAGGTCAAAGTATCATTGATTTAAGTACCTGCACGCGTAGCATAACAAACTCGAGAAACGCTTTGTCTACACCCATTTGTCAGTTTCTCGGGTCGTGAGTGAGATATAGTATGGGCGCACCCGAGATAAGTGACATTTGAGTGTAGACAAAACGTTCTCGCGTTCGTCATGCTACGCGTGCTACCCGCTGCGAAGCATCCTCGTATGGAAGGATCCTGAATAAAGAACGCACTAGACTCAATCCCACTAATCTACAACACCTAAGATAAAGACATCAAATTCCTAGTCTCGTGTTAACCCATTTTATATAGATTACCGTTACGTAAATTTTCAGTATAACATTTTCTTAAAATATAAGAAAATCTGTCGATAAATTGAAACGCAATAATGTACTACGATTACGACCCATATCGAAAGAAATCCCTCGGTTAATCCTTAAAAGGGTCAAGTTGTTAACAAAAGAAATATTTGTTCGTACAGCGAAGATAAGAACCCGGTCCTTGGCTACAATATAGGTATAGGTATAACAATTAATTGCTACTGTAAGCGAAAATTATACAACAGTGCCAGTCTCATCTCAACAACTGACGCAAAATCTCAAGTAAATCTGACAGAATATTTATCTTACATGTTATTTTAATGAATATAGAGTAGATTAGAAAAACATCAAAAAAGCTCTTCATTGCCTCTTTTCTCAGTTGTCTCAATTTAGCGTTGACTACATAATTCCTTTAAAATTCAAATTCCCTAGCTAATTTCCCGACCATACTGAAATAGTTTACATTATCTAGCGATAATCAATTAAGTAACATTCAAGATCATGTAACTGCGGTATCTGCAATAAGTGATAATATTCAAGCATGAACCCACCGTTGTGACCACGATGGGCATTTCCACAACCCCAATGGACTTGCAACTCATATTTTTACGGTCTATTGACGACGATTGCTCATGTGAAACCACACACTGTAACACAACAAAATTTTGGCCCGTGCGTCATATATTTTGTAGACATTATCCTTTGTTGGAATATTACTTTGTAAACGAGTTCATATTACAATTCGCACTTGACTGATTTTCAGGTAACTTTTTTAGAGCTGAATCCACGCCTTATACCAAAATTATTACTATATCTATACCAAAGATCTATACTAACATTATAAAGAAGAAAAGTGCCATTGAAATAGAATATCCTACAATAAATGTTATACCTAATTATTTATGACCCAGTTCGCTAAAGATAATAAATATATCACTACTACTGCAGTTTGCCTGTTAACGTCATACTATACAGACTGTTATCGAGGTAGATATAAAAACAGAGCCACAGTTATAAATCGTATCATAAAATATGAGCGATGACTCGTTACAATATATACCGATGGAGAGATGGGAAGAACTTGAAAGAGTTTTTGAAGCGGACTGGCCTCAGAGCATATCCGTTCTGACGGCCTTGAAAACGCAAAGACAAATTGCGACACTCGGCCTTGGCTACGGGTTCAAGGTGTATTGTCCTTACGGATTGCCGGCTAATGGAATGGTTGCTCTTAATAAAAAGGTACTGTCAATATGTAATTATGTGGAAATATAGATTATATTTTCTGTATGTGAAACAAAATAGTATTGTATTTTAATAATTTTTGCTTGTTGCAAATATTCAATGTCGTTTTTTTTACGAAAATTTGTAGGAGTTTTATATGTTTAAACAGTGTTTTTTTTTTATTTCGAAAATTTTGTAGGAGTTTTATATTTCAAATTGTAGATTGAGTGTTAGTATTTTGTTGTTAGTTAGTTCATTTATTGACTAGATTTTATTACATAACATTGTACGTCAACCATGCGCGCGTCTATCATATACTAGCGAATGCATGAGTAGTATCTCAGCGCAAATCTTAGCGATCCATGAGATATGCATTTTATATGTAAATTTACATTTTATAAAATCCTATCTCAGACCATCTAGAACTGATGAATATCTTAACTTATTTTCTATAAGATCGGTTAGATCTTATTACTCATTAAGACAATCTTCACTTAAATTGAGAATATTATAAACATTATCAAATATAAACCCGAAGTGGGTAGTCACATAATTAATAACTACTGCACACTAAAGTAAAGAAATGGTGGTGGTCTAAATTATAAGATTTTGGATAATGTTATATCTTCGGCGCTAGTTAGAATATGACTTTTTAACCTTTTTCTTTAAAATATTGAGCGAGTTCTCATCCTTAATGTCTTCGGTAAGATAAGATAAATATCAATATAGAATTATGAACGCAAAATTTAGGAAATGTAATGATTTACAAATAATTGAATAGCGCTACTAATTCTTCTAAGTTCTTGTACTAAGCAAATAAATGCTTTGACATTGATTTTATAGACCCCAAGAATAACTAACATTTATTTTATTAGTATTTTTTTTTTTTACTTTTTCAGGACAATTTCAATGAAATAATTATTTATTGTGGCATAAACAATATAAAGAATTTGGAAAATGCCTTAATGTCAACTAAATTAGTGGATTGGAGATCACCACTGACAATACCGTTTTTACCAGAACACCTTTTCAAAAGCATAGAGAAAGTAGCACCTAAACTAAATGTAGAAATTGAAAATGACGGAGACCATCCCCTGTACCAAGTCGTCTTGTTAGATAAGGGAACTCCTTTATTTGAGAATATTACGTAAGTATTATAGATAATTGTTTTAAGTATATTAAGTCCCTAATAAGCGTAGCAACACTTTCAATAACTAACACTGAGTAGCTCGGTGGCGTAGTGGATAAGCGCCGCGGCCCGCTATCGTAGTCGTTAAGCAACTTTCGCAAGGGTCGGTCACAGGATGGGTGACCAAAAAAAAATTGCCTCGAGCTACTCCGTGCTTCGGAAGGCACGGTAAGCCGTTGGTCCCGGCTGCATTTGCAGTCGTTAATACCCTCCAATCCGCATTGGGCCAGCGTGGAGGGTCATGGCCCATCTCCTTAACCATCCATAAGGAAGGCCTGAGCCCCTGCAGTGGGGACGTAAAAGGGCTGGTGATGATGATGAACTAACACTCGGATCTATAGCCGAGAGAAATAATTAGTTGAAAAAAATATCATAACTTAGATAAATTAATAAACAGTTCTTAGATCATTCAAATTCTCGTCTAATAAAGAGATGTTAATGAAATGTCAAAGAAATGTTAACATTTCTTACTTCGTTTAAATTCTTATTTGGTTAAAATATCTACTTAAATTATGACAAGGTCATTATTTCAGTCTTTCACAACATATCACCTTCAAACTGTTAACGGAAGAATACATAGACGCAGTGGATAGTGTATGGCCAAATCGTTACGACGGATCTAAATGGTTGTTTCAACTGTTGGTCAGAGCTAAGTTTGGATATGGTCTGTTCCAACACGACACATTACTATCATGTGTCTTCATCAACGAAGTGGGATCGATCACGCACATGTACACGTTTGAAGACTACAGGAATAGAGGCTACGGAAAAACGTTGTTAAAACTGGTTTGCAACGAACAATTGAAACATATGAAACATACATTCGGCTACTGCAAAATCGGTAACACGTTTGCCCTTCAACTTTACAAAAATCTCGGTTTTCAGATACTACATACCATACAATGGTGTTGTACCAATCCTAAATAAATAAATTACATTTCTTTTAGTATTTTTATTCATTTCAATCGCCCTAAAAATAAGAAAGTTAAAAATGTTAGTCAAATTACAATTCCAATTGTATTTTTAACAAAATTTTAAAATCTCCCGTATTGCTCTTTTTTCATCTTGATCACTAGCAACACTGACTCGCATATCTAAAATATTGTTTATTATAGACGTTATCTCAGTAGTTGTGAATCATTCTGCATTTAAATATTATTCTAAGCACACTATTATTAGGCTGCTGAGTCAAATTACAAATATATAAAAAAATCTTTACCCTATTAATATTAAAAGCATGGGTGATTCGTTACAATACTTGCCAATGAATAAATGGGAAGAATTGGAAAAAGTTTTTTAAGCTGCTTTGCCCTGAGGTATCTCTGCACTGACGGCTTTACAAACGCAAAAACAGCTGGAATCATTTGGCCTTGGATATGGGTTCAAGGTATATTTTCCTTACGGAGAACTGCTTACGGGATGGTCGCACTAAACAAAAAGGTAAGTATTTTTTGATTATATTTTGTACTAACCAACGATACCCACGGATATCCTAGATGAAATAAGTTTTAAAATATTCGTAGTAGAGTAGTTGAATTGAATGGACTCTAATTCAATTCAAACAAACAAACAATCAAAATTTTCCTCTTTACGTAGATATTTCTCTTTTTTTTATATATTGCTCCCAAAAATATCAGGTTTACATTATACTAGCTTTTACCCGCGACTTCGTCCGCGTGGTAAAGTTACTTTGAGCATCATTTCTAACGAATATTTATTCATTATATCGTGTTAAATACCTGAAATAAAGTTTCATCCCCTACTTTATTCCCTTAGGGGTGGAATTTATCAAAATTCTTTCTTAGGGGATGCCTACGTCATAGTAGCTTTAAGCATGCAAAGTCTTAGCCCGATCGGTTTAAAATTGACAAAGTTTCATACAAACTTTCATCCCCTATTTTATCCCCTTGGGGATAGAATTGATCAAAATCCTTTCTTAGCGGTCTACGTCATAACATCTACCTGTATGCCAAATTCCAGCCCGATCCGTCTAGTGGTTTGGGTTGTGCGTTGATAGATCACTATGTCAGTCAGTCACCTTTGAGTTATATATATTTAGAAGATTATATTTTCATCAGTTCATAAACAAAAGTAGAATCATAGATTTGATTTAGAATATATTATAACAAAAGTAAGGTCATAAATTGCGTTGATATTACAGAATAATATTTTATATAGTTGCTATCCATTCCAAAAACATTAGCAAATGAATTTAATAAATCTGATGCCTTTCAGTTCGCAGTTTAGATTATCTACTATTAACCACATAACCCATTATAACTATTAGCTAAATACCACAAACTCAATTATCGGAAACAATAGGAGAGTACATTTTATGTTTTAGATAGGTTGTACTTGTTTGTACCGTTTGATTTATATCAATCACTTCTCAATCTTCATTCATTTATTGTTTTAGGGTGATCTAAATGAGGTTATCATTCAATGTTCTGATGACAATACTTCAAAACTAAGGGAATCTCTCATCAATACTAAATTTATCAACTGGAATAATGTTATAATAATATAAGAATAAAATAAGTTGTACCTATTTCTGAAGTAGCAGAACAAATTAATGTTGAAATTGAAGATGAAGATACTGTACCTAATCAAGTTTAGGTATCTACTTGATTTGAACCAATATAATATAAACCAATTTTTTAAGTTAACTGGTAAGTATTTTGTTTAAAAGTTAGTATAATAAGTTCTTAATACTACAGTATCATTTATTGCAAAGTTTTTCGTTTACCAATATATAGGTTTAGTCATTATTTGTCAGGTTTAAACAAACTGTCACATTTCTCCACTTAATTTTAAATCTTCATATATTGAGAATAGAGTAGAAAATTACATGCGGAAATTAAATATATTTTGATAGCCTGACGCGCAGTCTTGTGAACATAAAACCTTTGAAAAATATCAAAATGAAGTAAACATATTAAGCGCCAACGAAGTATAAGACGTACAAGCGATTTTCGCCTAACACATTTAAAATTTTAACTGCATGAACAAATTCCAAACAGCAACATGGATGGTAGAAATATGTTTTTCAACGTTATTTTACATCTATTTCCACTGGTGAGACATATTATCTTCCCATAAAAAGATACAGGTTTGCACCATAACCCCAGATACGCGATCCCAATTGTGGATGTTAAATGACTACATCCACCCTATTTTAACTATATATCTGAATTAAAAAGCCTTACAGGAAATCGTCAATTTGAGTCGTTTATCAGGTTGAAAATTAACGTTAAAAACTGAACAATACTAAACAAGCAATAAAGAAATACTGTCTTATAAAGTTTGCAATTTTATAAAGACGTAAAGTTTCTAACTTACTTCCTACTAACGAACAAACATCGTTAGTAGGAAGTAATCTTTGGAAATACTGATCCAATCATGAAACCTCCTTCACCTGAAGAAGCTACAGTATACGCGGCTAACATAGGCTATTATTTAAGAGGTCGCGGAAAAACAGCTAGTGAACAATATGGCGCGGTACGATCGCAATTAGCCACCAGTAGGAAATTGTGATTTAATTATTCAAGGAGCTGATGTGCGGCCATCCTAACAATCTTGTGGAATGTATTAAATACTACACATAACACAATGGAAACTATTTACTTTTTCAATTAAATTAATAGTATGGAAAAGATCTAGAGTATTGAAATATGATAAATCATAATTCGATATTATTTATATTTATTTCCTTAAGACTTACTTATACTATGCAAGTAATGTCTAGTCGACTGTAGATAAGAGCATCAAACTTATTCATGCTCCATGATATGAAAACTCAATACGATTTTGAAGAAATCCTTAGATTATATACGAGTATAATCTAAGAAGAAATCATATCGTTGCTTCATCATTCTTACTTTAATTAAATTATTATGATTTCAGTTTACTAAAAGATGTATCTTTCCAACCAATCACTGATAGAGATCTGTAGATAATAGTTTCAACATGGCGCAATCGCTACACAGGTTCCTTAGGGCTGTTTGGAATGCTCGCCTCAGCGAAATCAGGTTATGGTCCATTTAAGAATGGACAATTGATATCTTGGGTATTTAATAACGAAGTCGGTACTCTTACTCACCTTTACACTATTAACGAGTACCAAGAAAAGACTACGCAGAGACATTGTTAAAATTGTTTTGCAATTTATTTTTGAAAAAAGGTAAAAATATACTCGCCTATTGTAGAAAAGGAAATGTGAATGCTTCTAAGTTATATGAAAAACTTGGATTCGTAATGTATCGTAATGTTCGTTGGATATTTTAAAAACCAAAATATTTTGAATGATTAAATGATTTTCTATGAATTTAATAATTTTCTTGGGTTGAAAGAAAGAAAAAAAGAATATTGATCGGACTTGAACGAGGATAAAAAGCAGCCGAAGTCAGCTTAACCAATTCGGCTGCATTTTATATTTTGAAGTATTACACTACAGAATCATTTAAAAAATAAATAATTTAATGTTGTAAATTTATGTTGTTACGAAAGTACTATTTTGTAGAGAATTAAATTGTTATACTACACCTTATGGTTCAATTTTAAACTTCGTTTGCAATTTAATTTGAGTTTCAGACCCAAAACTTTACAACAATGTAAAACAAGATAACTGTTTTTCGTGATCTCTTTAGGTTTAGCCTACCATGGCTTTGTGTATGTTTATGTGTGTACTTCTCTTGTATACAATCGAGCTAGTGAATATTTCGCGGGCGGTTAGCAGCCGCTTCGTTTTCCGTACATTGATCAAAGGGGACAACTCGACGCGAGTAGGGTTGCCAACTGGAAGTAATTTCGACGTTGAACACATCTTAAGTTCCGTTCAACGAAAGGAGTCCGCATTAGCATGACAAAGCATTCTTTGACGATAATAGATATTCGATTCTTTGTTAATAAATCTCAATTAATGACGTCATTAAGACGAAGAATAACTCGCTTCAAGAGCTTGTGCTCTTAACACAAAAATCATGCGAATCAAATTAGGATCCAGCACAATTGCAAAGCGCCATCTACCATATATACTAAGGGAATTAAGATATATAATTAGAATATGTGTTTTATAAATTGGAAGTTATTTAAAATTGTTATTTCTATATTGTCTCGGGTCGATACCCAAGTACCTACGTTACACCATACTAGAATCTGTGTAAAAAGAGGACCCTCATATAATTTGATAGCGTAACTATTCTTAATTTAAGTAATTTATACTTGCAACACTGCGAAGCTCGAGTGTCCTATCAAAACAAAGAAAAAATGAACAAATAACGATTTTAACGTATAGCTGTTATGTAAAAATGTTAAGATTTTCTTTTGAACAGACTCTAAAAAAGGTTTAGATACTCAGTTTAGGATATTGGTGACTTCCAGCACAAACTGGACTAAATTTAGTTTGAATTATATCAAACTGCGTATTCGTTCATCTATAGGTGTAATAGAAATTAACTTATGGTATACAGAAATAAAGATCTTCCTATTGGATTTCATTGGATTCCATCCAAAGGTCTGTCCCGTAGTAGTGGTCATTTCATAGAATACGTGAGACAATGGAATAACGATGAAGTAGGTAAACGCGAATTTAAGTATTTTTTTACTTTAGTCAAATCAGAGAATGGTAGCCAAATATGGAATATCCAAAAATTTTGCTTGATATTCTTTAAAGAATCACCCTGAAATAAGTCAAGCAATTAGAAAGTATCTTAAAAAAATACTAAAGCACTAAAAAAGCACCTCCACTAGATGGCGACTCTCGCAAAAGGTAATTTTTGCAGGAAACGAATGGACCAAAGACAGTTATTTCCGTTCCTTTTAACTAACATATTAAAAAACTGAAATTTGAAAAGTTCGAAACTTAGATATCAATACAAATACGAAAAAGAACAAATAGGATATGAGTTGTTTATTGAGTTTTGAAAACTAATTTACATTTAAACATGAAAGAAAGCCGGTTGTCATGGAGAAATCAAGAACGTACCGTAGCGACATTTAGTTTGATTTCGGGAACTAATGTTTTTTATTAAATACTTCCTCATTCAGATTTCCTAGACTTGTTGACGTTTTACAAATTTTCCCATTTTTTATGTTCCGTATTAAGTATTATATTCCATATTTGGTTACTTTCCTCTAGCAAATGTAATATTTATTGTATCATCAAACGTTACAACCCTAGCTCCAGACACCATGCACAGCTGGATGGCGACAGAACGCGGCGCCTGTCGTCATCACTATACTCTACACATAAATACATCACACTAGATACTAGCACACAGTTTGTAGGTTGCCAAAATATGGCAAATTTTCGCAATCGATTTTCAAAACTACCTTCAATGCGTTAGTTTAAAATCAAGTGAGGAAAACTGCTTCCTTATATTAAAGTTCATAATTAATTTGTATTAATTAAATTACGAAATATTGGAATTATTTCAATAATTGTTTGTGACCCCTGACTAACATAAACTCATATAAGTTTCAAATCATCTCATGAAAAACTATATATTTTTTATAACATTTATTTTTCTATGTTCAAGTCCTCAAATCATCTCACGTGAAAAATGAATGGCAACCAATTTACAGGCGCAGACGAAATAAAAAGTACTATTTTTTATAAATAGTACTGTTTATTTGTCACAATTAAAATACTAACACAATTTTGTGTAATATTGTGTTAGTATTTTAATTTATTCCAATTACGCAGGTACGGTAACAAGCTTTTATTGGCTGATGATTAATAATAAAAAAATCGTTCAAGAAGTATGGAATTTGGTTTCACTTTGTACGTATATCATCATTGTAACTTACTTAATGTTTAAGGTCACAGTATACAATCAATCAAAAAACCTTTTATGCCTAGTTCACCAAGATCGTGACATCATTTCACTTACATTAATTAATTTCAAAAGACCCGCCCCTAATTGTCTAATTTTAAATCTAATGCAAACGCTTTCAGTTTGAAAGGTGTTGCACAACCGTTTACTGTTGGATTACTATAATGTTATATTATATATAATGAAATAGCATTATCATAATATATTTTTATTCCTATATTAATCATCCATATCGTAATTGCCTTCATTATTTAGAATACCATTCATGATACCTGAAACTAAGGCAACGAAATACCTTTAAAATAAATGCTCTTAAATTTATAGCTAAAAAATTACAGGAGATCCTCTTCCTTAGCGAAATACAATGTTATAATAGTGAAACACGTAGAACAATACTTTTTATATAAATGATGTTAACAACAATCCAATTACGTTATAAAATTATAAAATAATTTCACAAGGCCTCAAGTATTTCATATTAATGATAAAATTATTAAATCATTAACGGAAAGAAAGGCGAAGAGAAGGCTCTTGTCTAAATGGTCCCTGTAACGGAAACCATTGTCATGCTTTCTTTGTATCTAAGTTGTAACCTACCGTTAAGGTTCTTACATTTGATACTTTCCCAAAGTTTATAGTGACTAAAACCTATATAGTAGTATATAGTAGTTTTGAGTTATGAAAAAACAATAAA